TCTGCTACTGAGTGGGTATGTAAGTTGTGCCTAGGCATGGCACTGCTAAGGTAGCATCTAATCTAACAAGGATTATTGATACTATATATTAATTTTTTTTTTAAATCACCTCCCAACATAAGTATTTAATTTTAAAGAGGTGATGCTAACCAAGTATTTTTTATTTGGCCTAATTTAATTTAAGGTTTTTTCTCCAATATTTCAACATAGATGGTTATATATTATTATGCAGTAACCTTGCCCTTATGATGTTTTTGCGCACCTAGGCCTACCTCCCTACCAGCAATTTTCTACACAAATATGAGTTAGATTACTTCTCAGTGGAATCCTGCTAATTAAATACTGATCATGCCAATTTCATCCTCAATGTCCAGTATTCATACAGCACTTTGTTTCAAAGTACTTCACATTTTGCCAATTCATTTAAATTCAAATTCAATTAAAAAATACCTTATTATCCAACGGGATATTCATTTGGCCATGGTATAATATATCAAACAATGTACAATGAATAAAATACTTATAAAAATAGTTTAAAAAGAAAGTTTATACATGAAAAAAAATCATTTTTAAATCAGGGATTTAAACAATAAGTGTTAGGTTTGTTTTCTTTTATTAAATTATTTAAAAAAAAATGTAACACAAAAATTTGTGAAACAATTTAAAATAGAAAAATATTTAAAATCCTTAAACTCTCCGGACTTGTATAATCTATTATTTTTATATCATTATTTATTTATTATTTTATAAGTATTTGATTATTTTGTTATTATTGCAGATTACATACATTTACGTAATGTGTTTTTCACTAAATTAGGACTACCGTATATCTGACAGACTGCACTTGAACTATCTAGAAAAATAGTCAATGATAACACACATGTCTGTCCACACATTAATAAGATACCCAATGAAATTACAAATAGCTTTGTAATAATAAACTTATTATTAGGACTCACATTATCATTAAAATGTGTTTTATTGAAATGTTTTAGACAATTTATTAGGTCAATACGTAATATGATGGTCTCATTGCTGCCCCTAATGTCAATCCTTCACTTTATTAAATGTGTATTTACATCTCAGAAAAACATAGTTTTCATTTTTTGCCTAAGTTCTATAAATGTTACGGCTTATAATTTAACTTAAATTTAATTATTGTTGATCTCATTTTGTCTATCCCTCAGATGAATGTTGTTGATGGTTGTAGCTATATGAACTATGCAAGGATATTAGTGTGGCCAATATTTTGTTGATGAGTTTGGGGTTAAGGGAAGTTTTATAGGGGTCTATTATTTTCATTAGTCTTGTGAAAGAATTCAATAATTGAAATGTGACTAAATCTCTCTTCTTTCTTTACAGGAAATATTGTATGCAAGCAGTTACACTGGGAGCAAGTTTATGCTTAACAGAACATGCATAAGGTAGGTTCACTGTTTACAGTATATAAATGGTTGAATATCAGAATAATTATGTATTATGCCCATTGTACAGTTATTTTAATCACTGTATTAAGTTTGTGAATACACATAAAAGAGAATTGTCTCACTTAGCCTATTGCACAATTCACAATCTATATAATAGTAAAAATTATAGGTAATCCAAAAAACCAAATAATAATTCATACATCTCAGAACCTTTACTGCTCCATCTAGAAACCTACAGTATTTTAGTTGAAGAATATCATTTCTTGTCATACAATACGCATAAGACCATGATTAATGCACAAACTCCCAATGATTCTCATGGGTGATTGTATGATTTTTTTACGGCACCTAACAAATCACCAAATTGGTCTAAGTTTTGCCTATCATTAATACACAAGTTTAAAATTGTTAAGTTTTTGAGGGAAGAAATTATCTTTAATTTACAGTGACAATGTTTCTCCGCAAGAAAGTCACTCACATTTTATTAAAATGTATATAAAGCTGTAATACTTTTTTCTTTCTTTCAGCCTATAGTTTTGAATCCAAGATTTACCCTGTCAGATGGATTTAATGTTTGACCTCAACGGTAGACTGTTTAATTTAACTTCTATGCAGAGAGAATCAATATACATTTCAATAACAGGCTGTGAAGAGAAGTCTGAAAAATTAAAAATCTGTTCTGTTGGCCACCATAAACAATTATCTAATGATTATGTATGCAATTCATTATATACAATGTCCAGTCAGGAAAATCTAAGCAATGTTATATTGATGATCACGGATTAATAATTTGTAAAAAAGACTATAGGTCTAGTAAAAGGGATATGTGTCATTCACTGAACATACAAAGTATTGTAGATTCATATTCCTTGAGGAAAGATAAGATTTTAATATTGGATGTAGTTACAACTTGTTATTTTAGAAATTTAGAAAATTCAGAATTACAATTTTTTTTGTGAATTATGATGAGAGGCATTGGCTCTTGAGAGTAAAAATTTGCTTATAAGCTGCCAATTTTTTGGTATTTGAATTTTATGTATAGTACTGCATTGTACCATATTTGGACAAAAAACTAAGTATTATAAATATATAATCCTACATGTCATTGTTAATTTAAAACAGCATTCTCTATGTTCATTAAATATAAGAAATTATGGTTTTCTTCAATGGAATAATCATCTCTTATCGTCATCATTAAGGCTATTTCAACAACTTTTCTGACTCTCAGTATGTACCATATACTAATTTCTGTAACATGTTTAAAATTAAATCCTCAATGTTTGATGCTTAATTTAAGGAACCATTGGGGGGAAAAGGTGTTTCAACTATATGAAAACAATTACTTAATTTCAACAAATATTCTTGGGCCCAATTCCTTTGGTTATAATTTCCATTTAAAAAAAAATTATTGTATATATAGTGAAATTATATTTATTCCACGATCGACTGTATCCATAGAAATTATGTGTAAGGGTTTGAAATATATTTTATTAACCTTCTTTATAATATTTTTACTTTCATTTTTTTGACATTCATGTGTATATATATGTTGCTATGCACATATGATTATGACTATAAAGTTAATTATTTAATTTCATCAAATAATTTTGTGTCAAATTCCTTTGGTTATAATTTTTACTGTAAAAAAAATATATTTAACTAAAAACTAATGAATATAGTGAAATTATTTTTATTCCACGTTCGACTGTATTCATAGAAATTATGTGTGTAAGGGTTTGAAATATATTTGTAGAAACCTTCTTTATAACATTTTGACTTTAATTATTTGACATTCACCTGTATGATACTATGCACATATAATTGTGACTTTAAAGTTAATAAATTTGAATCAAAGGTCTAGATAAATTGATTGTCATTTTATAATTATAGTTAAAGTATCTACATACATGCATATATATATACATATCTATTTTAAATAAATTGATGCAAAGCAACCACCTCGTCTGTTTTTTTTTTTATTGAATATACATATATACATATATATATATATATATATATATATATATATTATATATGATATTAAAGGAAGTTAGCCGTTAACACTGATGAATAAATATAATATAAATCATCAAAGGTACATATACAGTGTTTAATAAGGACATGATGGAACATCGTAGGCTACCCTGTAGCTTTTCAA